CATGACTCATCGGTCCATAAAACGTTACATAAAAACTCCCTATTATTATCAGTTCTATCAAGGATCCACTGACAAAATGTGATTTTTCGTTCTCCGTCCCCTGGCTGTAGTCATTGCACAGGTTGCAAATGGTAAGGGCGTCTGTGGTCATTTCTAAGAACACGGTGAACATGGCTTGCTGAAATTCCCAAGGCACCAGAAACTCTCCTAACACTTGTGGTCGGATCTCTATCAAACTCACGCAGAATCATACGGGTAAATTTGCGCTGACGAACATTTATGTTTTGATCCCTTTGGAGATTTCCAAAACCATTTTCAATTATTTGGCGATGCACTCTTACAAATACTGAGCGAGTTGGATGTCGTCTGTTTGGAAATCTTCGTGCGTATTCTCTGGCTGCTTCTGCTGCGTTTCCATTTACAAAGCCATACACAAAATGAATATGCGCTAACTCTTGATTGGAGAATTAAAATGGCATTTTTATAAAACTTACAAAAAAAAAAACAGGTAAAAGAAACTAAATTTCGTGCATTCACACTTGCAAAATAACGTTTCAGGTTTCAACAGACAATAAAACTAACTGTCAACTAATTGACCTTTAACCTTATTCTGCTTTCAATTTCAAAAATATTTGGAGGCACAGCCTAAAATTATCGAGATTTTATCATAAATAATTAAAAATGCATCGAACCTTAAAAATCGAAATATCTCAAAAACGGCTAACAATAACGAAAATTTACAAGAGAGCTTTTTTATGTTGAAAAGTACGAAGAATCAATATTTTTCAACAAAAAGCAAAAATTGCACGAAGAAAAAATTGTCGGTCATTTTAATACACTACAGGTACAGTAGAGAGCGCCCTCTAGCGGCTACAGTAAAACTATGGTTCGTTTTGTCGTACAAAAAAACCCTTGTATACCAATTTTCACTGTTATACACCAAATATTGTTCGAAATATTTAAAAAAAACTATTTTATAAAGTAAATTTAAACACCCTGTATTTCGGAAGGCACGCATTTTTCGACCTATGTTTATATAGACTTTATGCATTAATTTTAAAAGTTCTATCGAATCTTAAAGTTATGCAGCAATAAAGTGAAACACCCTGTATGTTCGAATCCTGGTCCCGGGAGTGGATAAAAATATTGCTTATACCACCCTTCCAGATACACTTCCATCCAACCAGATATACCTCAATTATATTGGGATGATAACTTTAAGATTTTGAGGAAGTACATATTCTGCAATTCGCGTATGGAAATTGGACATGGCTCCTAGGTTGAAACTAATACCCTCGGAACTTTGTTACCATTACAGTGTCAAAGGAGACTTGGATCACATCTTTTTCGGTTGTATTGAGCATCCTACACACTGTGCCAATCTTTACCTAAGCTGACTCGTGCGCAGATTTCCTGCTCCGTACAATACACAATCACTTCTCTCGCTACAAAAACCTGAAGTGACTTCTTGCTTCATTGGATTCATCAAAATTTTTGGTATCAAAGTCTAGAGTCGCTAAAATAATTCAATTTATTCTCTTTGTCCCCTTTATCCGTCATCCAGACAGGGTTAATGACTATAGATTACAGTGTAGACGTACGCTGAGGAACGACTTAAAAAGTGGAAGTATATATAATAATACGTCTAGGACGCAGTTCTATTATGAATGAAGCTCAAGGACGCGATCTTGTCAACAGAATCATAAGATTCGCGAATATTGGGATGCCACTTACTTCTAAGATTATTCGTAGACAAGCATTCATCTTTTGCGAAAAATATGAATTTAAACATCATTTTAACAAAAACGTTGGCCTTGCTGGCTAAATATGTTTTTGATGCGACAGCCAGAAATTTCAAAACGAAAGGCACAGTTCATGAATCCAGCCAGGGCGCAACAGGTGAACAGACCAATCGTAAGTCACCACCTTGAAGAAGTTAAGAAATTATATGATGACGAACTTGATATAGCAACGCATCCAGAAAAACTTTACAGAGAGATCTTGAGTGATGTATAAACAACACCTAAGAAGATACAGATCATTCGTAGAAACGCTGTCACTCTGATGCAGTCACCACAACCTTCCACTTCAAGACATCACAGGTCTCCTATATATATCGTCGTCAAGTGATTTATAGTTCAGAATCCGAGGCAGATACTGAAACGACTATTGTACAGCACAGAACAAAGTTGGCATCAAACAAACCATCACTGCCCCTGGGTAATATATATTGTTCTAAAGGAAAAATGGAAGACAGCGATAGTTTCAGTTCTGATGACAACATACCTTTAGCTAACTTCAAAGCTAAGAAATTTAGGTCTCCTTTTCAAGAGGTTTTGACAACTCCGAAGTATGCTGTAACAAAATTAGGCCTAGGAGAAAAGCTATTAATTATAGAGGCCAACGAATACCAAAGACCTATTCAAAGATCGAGAAGCATTGAATGAAAACGAGAAGACAAAGAAAGCAACATTGAAAAATTATAAAAGAAAAACCAAAGAAATATCAGAAAAGAAAACTAAAGATGGAAACCAACAACGATCTCATAGTGATGAAAGAAAAAGAAGCAAAGTTCCGTCAGTAGAATCTTGGTTTTGCTGTGCTTGCAAGGAAAATCGTGTGTCGGATATGAAACAGTGTGTTAAATGTCACATATGGCACCACGAAGAATGCGTAGGGTTGACCACAAATGATAAGGAATTGCTTTATTGTCAAAACTGTGATGAATAAGTATCATTGGGTAAAGTAGGATCTATATTGATGGACTATTTATTTGTATTCAATCGAACCTCTTAGTCGTTCAAGTACAATATTTCTAAACGAATCTACTTCCAAAGTTCCCAACCCAAAGTCTGATTTAGGATATGTTATTTGAGTCTTAACATAAGAAATCTTGTAATAACTTAAAAAGTGGCCTTATTACTCCCCGGAGGTTAATAAGGCCCATTGTTATTATCTCTTAAATTTATGTAATTAAATGTTTTTTGTTGATTTTAGCTGCTGAAAAATGCCAAAAACTTTGAGTTTTGTTGATAATTTCATAAGAAAGAAATATTTTATTTTCGGGCCTTGAATTACTGTGGTAGTTTAATAAGGCCCATGGCAAGAGTTTTTGAAAATTGTCATGCTTATTTCCATGCTGATCTCTGTGTTACTATTTATCTTTTATTCTTACCTTAAATAAAAAAGCTTTCTACTGAAGTACGTTTTTTCAATTTTTTTGATATAATTCCTGAGTTTTTTAGCTTTAAAGTTAGGTGGGCCTTATTTGCCTTAGTTGTATGAACGCAAAAAAATAATACTATATTTTTCTTAGACAGGCGAAGACGCTGTCCGCCAAGTTTGGCCCATAATAATGTGTTTTGAAGTCATACCATTTTTAAACAGCAGCTGACAGCAACATAACCTCTAAGCATGTAGCATGACTTCTACTAGTTCACATGAAAAATATGGTAATTTTCGTTATTGTCTATCGCCCGGGAATGCAAAAACATGTCGATAAAGACCCCAGGAAAGCTGTGGATTAGAGTGTCTCGGAAAATAGATACTGCTTTAAGGAGAAGTAAATAAGTATTGCTTCAAGCATCGGGACATATTTTACATTATAATGTGCAGATTTTTTCATCTCGTTAAAGTTGGATGGAACCTACGGCATAATCACCATACTATTTCCTTACAGATGTGTAAGAAGGGATACAATATTAGATAAAACTATTCTGAATATATGACGCATGACCTTAGCTTTGAATGACTTCTAAAAAGAAAGGTTATGTAAGTGTATTACCTATACTTTATTTTCATGTCTATCAATATATCAGAAGCACCTTACTTACATAACAGTCTTGATGTTCCTCAGCTCGGCAGAGCAGAAACATAGGTTAAATTGTTTTCTCTAATAAAACTAGAATACGACAACTTTTTACGTTGATTAGGAGTCTTTTCAGAGTATTTAGAGATGGCAACTTTTATCCACGAGTGACATACGGATGACGTTCCTTTGTTTACAATTTGTATCACTTTACAATACATAATGGTCATAATGGTCTAAATTGGACCTATGTAGGTCTTGCTCATACAAACATTGAAATCAATATATTTCATTTTCCTAAGCGGCAAATAAGAAACACTCATTTATTAGATGAAATTAGATATGAGTCAAGTAGCCTATATTATGGGGTCTGGAAAAATTCCTAGAAGTTCAGCAGGATTATTGATAACAGTAATCAAGGTCGGACCTTTGGTAACTTTCAATGAGGTTTCCAATATTGGCATTGGATTTGACCTTGAGCCGAACATTCTGGTTCATAATAGTGCACAAGCACCTATTAAAACTTTAAATTTTTCATTGTCGCTGCTAAGAGGGGCTTCCCAGTTAATGGGTTGACCTTAAATTGACAGTCAAGGGTTTACAGTTAAACCCAAGGTCACTATTGAAATTCTTGTTGAAAGCAACTAAAGCGGTATAAAAATCATTCGAGATGAAAAGGGCTACGATAGTTAGCTACAGCGCCATCTGAGAGACACTAACCCTTTCAAGGCGAATTTCTAATTATTGTGGAGGGGGGAAACCTATTTGCATATACTGTGCATATGAGCAGGAAAGGGTGCAATAGGGTGAGGAAAGCTAAAGTAGACAATATGCAAAGGTATAAATCCTCTGATGTATGAATTTTGCTTGAATCGCAATATGACGTAACGCTTCTCAACTTGTCAGAATGAATTGCAATCAAACAGTTGCAGTTACGTATGTGTGTTGGTTGAGAAGAGTTTTGAGAAGATAAAATGTCTTCGGGTCATACAGAAATCTTACAAACTTCTGGTATTAGTTGGGAATCCCACATGTCTAAAGCAGATCAGTACCGTACTTACTCTGAAACCTTGTAAATTTTGTGGGCACAAGTAGTCCAGTTCACTCGCTAATTGTTTAAACGTAATGTGTAAGCCGTTCTCATATCCCGTCACGTATGCGTTATTTGGGTGATTTAAAAATGATCTCCTAGTCATATTGGCGTCAAATTTATATCCACTGTCAATGTCCCAATCTGACGGCTTCTTCGCTTGGTGATAGTCTTTGAAATGAAACCTGTAGATAAGGAATATATAGTTTTGTAATAGCCTATCAGAATGATTGATTTTTGTCAGAGCTTCAGCTGTTGCTGTAAATACTTCTACTACTTCTATTACTACATCTACTTTTTTTAAAGGTGAAAAAAGTTTCTCACGTTGTGCTGGGCTTAGTCGCCAGGCCCGTACCAGCTAAGAATAACCATCCCCTGAGATACCCGGAGCCGCTACATGCATAACCTCTTAGCCTTAATTCTATTGAGCAGCTCGAGACAGGAGACTCCGTTCGTCCTTTTCTTTTGCTGTCATGATGGTGCTTACAAGTTTATGTATCGCCTTCCAGGTGTTCACCTCCGCAATCATCTTGTTGGCAACAACGGCAGGTTTCGCGTTTTCAATGTCGAAGTCTAAGTAGTATGTTGAGCGTTGTCGGTTCTCCGCAGTAAATACAACTGTCGTCTCTGGTCTCGCCAGTTCGCATGGTATACGCCCTAGGGATCCATCCCCTTCTTTAGCCGAATTGAATGTCGGCTAGCCCTTCACTTGCCTCCAGTTCTTCTTCCCGTCACGCCTTGATGAGGGACTCAAACAGCTTGCACGGTGTGTCATGCAAGCATAAGAGCCTGTGTTTTACTTGTGTGTCTTGCACCGATGTTTTATGGATTAGTATGTGCTTGGAAGTCTTCCAGCTTATAGACAAATCTTGCTTAGCTAGCATTTGGTCAAGTGAGTATCCATGTTGGGAATGCCTTTGCTACCGCTATGCTTTTTGAGGTTTTTAGTGGCAGTCTCTGACTCCTCTAATGTAAATGGCGTTAAGTTTTGTACAGGAGGATCTTTGGCACCCTGGCGTTGGACGGCGGGAAAGTGCTTTCTGGCATCTGCCTTTTCGTGTCTGTGTCCATTTCATAAGCTTAAAACAGGTTAATTTTTTTCAGCGCGATCTTGTATCCTTGTCCCCATATATCTCGAACGAGCTCTGCTCAGTAAGCTCCACATTGCTTTCTTCTTGTCGAGTATCGCGCTTTGTCGGTTTATTTTGGCGTTTTTGTACAGTTGTTTCGCCTTATCATGGTCTGCATTGGAAGTGTTTCTCGTAGCAGCGATTCTTGTTAGCTTTCTTCTCTTTCAAAGGCAGTCCTTCCTCTTATATATATATATATATATATACAGGGTGAGGAAATACTCCCCCCCCCCCGTAAATAAGGATCATGTCTATAAGTTCAGCATTTTCGTAAACATGTGCCATTTTTTATTTGGTTTGAGCCACGCAACAAACACCACTATTCACTCACGCGTTACCGACTGACACATTGACTGAATACAGCTGAATAAAATTGTAGTAAAAACATCGTGATAAGCGTTTCAAATTCTTTCGCTTTTTTGTTTCCGATGCGATGAACCGATAAGGCGGATTATATCCGTTGTCGCCAGACACGAGCACATAATATTATTATTGAGACAGGGCGGTACTCAAACTTCTAAAGGGCTATAACTTTGTTACCTTAATCTTACCACAAAAATATTAAAGGAAAGAACATTTCTTTTGATCAGATCTATTCACTGTTAAAATAAATGACTCAACTTCGATATATACAGGATGGCCCATCCATGTGTGGACGAAATATTACGCATAAACAAATACATTTTGGGAAAATCTATTAATGGCATGTTATACATGACATTTGAGGGCACATTTCTAAAATATTGGCAATTATACAGGGTGTCGCAGTTTTGACCTACATATCAAAGTTGGGATTTTTAAATAGAACGCCTAAAATTCTATTGCATATTTGGATAAACCAATTCAAAAGAAGTAGGTTATTATTATTATTATTGTTATTATTAAACAACAAATTTGAGTTGAGTACAAGTACTATAAACTCAAACACAAAAATAGAGAATAGTGTACAGACAAAAGAAATATAACAATTTGACAATCTTAGCACTTCTGAAGTAGACATATACAGAATGGGAACAATATGTTAAGCACTGCGGTGTCTATCGTAATTGTTTTTGAAACTGTTGACGGATTCCGAGTTCACTACATAAGATGGAAGACTGTTCCATGCATCGAAGACACGGTTTGAGATGAAGCGCTGACGAGTAGAGGTTCTAAAAGCTTCCTTCTGCAATTTGAAGTTATGGCCTCTGAGACTGTTCGTTGTCAGACGAAACAGATGCGACATGTCCACACCAAACAAATTATGCAGTGCTCTGAAAGTGATGATGAGATCTCCTCGTACTCTTCTATCAGCAAAAGCAGGCAGGTTATATAGCTCGAGGCGGTCTTCATAACTTGGCCTACGTGTGCCATATGGCATACGTGTAGCACGACGCTGAACGGCCTCTAATAAGCTGCTATCGCGAACAAGGTTTGAATCCCATACCGGACCAGCAAACTCCAGTAGGGGTCGTACGAAAGTTGTGTACAAAAAGGAGGAGGTACTAACGGTGCAACCGCTAAATGACCTTTCCATCATATATAGCAACCGCTTTGCCTTAGAGGTTATGTTCTGAATGTGCTCCGACCAGGTGAGCCGGCCATTAACTGTCAGACCAAAATCTGTGTGATGAAGAACAGTCTCTAAGGTATGTTTGCCAATCTTATATGTTAAGTTAGGATTATTCTTTCCCAGGTGGAGAACGTAGCATTTCGATAGATTTAAAGGCAGGAGCCAGAGTTCTGACCACTTTCTGATCAGCTTGAGGTCTTCTTGAAGCACAGATGAGTTCATGACAGTGTTATAGACTTTAGTATCATCTGCATAGATGGAACACATAGAATAAAGTCGGGTGGGAAGGTCGCTTGTATAAAGAAGAAAAAGTATTGGCCCTAGCACAGATCCTTGTGGACTCCACTAGTAACACGATGACTAGAAGAATAGGCGTCTCCAACACGGACGGAGAAAGATCTGTCTAACAAAAAAGCTTCAATCCATAACAACAAATTTCCCCTGATTCCGAGATGTTCAAGCTTGTGCAGGAGCCTTTTATGCGGAACTCGATCGAAAGCTCTGGAAAAATCCAGAAAAACCACGTCGACCGGTTCATTTGCGTCTAAAGATTTGGTCCAGTTGTCAATGCAGTGTAACATGTTGGTGATAATTGATCTACCAGGAATAAAACCATGTTGGTTGCTAGGCAGCAGGTTGTTCTTGAACGCAAATGTCATAAGTTGTTCCTGGACGATCTTTTCGGCTATTTTCGCAGCTATAGGCACAAGACTGATAGGACGGTAGTTTTTCGCAGATGTTTTATCTCCTTTTTTGTATATAGGTGTCACAGATGCAGTACGCCAACAGGAAGGAAGGATGTGATTTTGAATCGAGGAGTTGAATATAATGCACAGGGGGTATGCGAGAGCTGAGGCACAGGACTTCATAACGGCAGAAGTAATCCCATCCTTTCCAGGGGACGAACAAGTTTTCAGTTTAGTAAGGTGCCTCTCAATGTCCTGAGGTTGAAAATCTATGATACAGATGGTCGCTAGGCATCTATGAGGGCTGGATAAGTTCGGAAGAGTACCATCACCATCAGGTTCATTCACAAAGTCTTCACTGAAAGCATCGGCAAGAAGATTGGCAGATTTTTCGGCATCAGTATGTAGGTGGCCATTGGGATCACGGATTTGTGGGGAAGAAACCTTAGAGTTCAGGGTGGATCTCAAGTATCTAAACAACTTCTTCTTATCTTTCGATGACACAAGATTTTGCTCATAATTGCGCTTGGCGTTTTTCAAGTTCTTCGAAAGGATGTTAGAGAAAGATCGATGAGATACATAATCCTGTTGTAGTCTACTTCTTTGGAATCTTTGCCATAACGCTTTTTTATGCCTCAACATCCTTGAGAGGTTATGGTTAATCCAAGGTTGATATAACAGTTTTGGTTATTAGCTAGTACTGCGATGTAAGGTGTTTTGTCCAGAAAAATCGTCCTCTTCGGCAACCTCTCAATCCGCCATTTTGGCATTTGGAGTGGTGAATTCAGTATCAAAAAACTTACAAATCTTAGCTTTTATCTTACTTGTTACTTTTTCGAATTTTCATTTTTGCTCAAACAAGGTGCCTTTTTTCAAAAATTCCAAATGCATCACCCTCTACCTTTATGCAAGTTTGGATTCAATTTTTTATAACCTTTTTTGGTATGAGGCTTGATTCAGATAAAATCACTAGATTTTGAGTTATTAAGCTTTTAATAGGACAGAACACCGAAATTAAGGAAAAAAATCACATCAGCATGGAAACAAAAGACAGGCAGTGGGCTAGTTCTATATTGCCACTAAGAGATTTGACGTAAAAACTAATAACAATCAGAACAGTATAAATCAGCTTCAAGCGTAATAGAGAAAAACAACTGTAATAACAACATAAACAAACAACTATCGCTGCTCAACACCTAATCTACAAAAACTGCTCGAAAATATCTTCACCATGTTTAATACACAGCCGTAGTCTTTGCATAAATGACCGTTGCACATCCCTCAGCATGTGTTCCCTTATCCTTTCCTTGATATTTTCCGGGATAGCTGGTGGATATCCATAAATCTCTTGCTCAACGTAGCCCCATAGACAGAAGTCCATCGGTGTCATATCTGGTGATCTAGGAGGCCAAGATATATGCCCATAATGACCGATCCAACGATTGTTACTCCAGGTGCCCAAATAGTCACGCACACGATTATGATAATGCGCAGGTGCGCCGTCATGTTGAAAGTACATATGCATCCGAGTTTGCAGGTTGACATCCTCCAAAAGGAAAGGCAAATGCTCGATCAAAAATTCAAGTTTTCTGTACCTGTTAATCTGTTGTCAATAACTCCTCCCCAGACATTCAAGCTCCATTTATTTTGGAATCTATTTGCCTAACCCAGTAAGGGTTTTCCGTTGCATAATAGTGCATATTATGCCTGTTGACAACACCTACGCTGTTAGAAGTTGACTCATGGCTAAAAAGAACCTTAGCCAGGAAAGTAGTGTCTTTATTGACTTTATTTAGCATTGTTCTACTAAACTCGATTCGAACTGCGAAATCCTGAGGACGAAGACCTTGATGCAAGCATAGGTGATATGGATGGTACCTATGCTCATGAGTAATCGTTTGGACAGAAGATCTCCATATATCAGTTTCTGCTCCAATTTGCCGTGCTCTTTAATGAGGATTTTCCTGCAACTTTAATAGAACCTCCAACTGATTCGTCTTATTGGTGACTCTTAGATTATTTATACATTTTTTACTGTATTCCACTGCTCCACTCGATTCAAAACGTTCTCGTAGTGTGGAAAATGTTTCCGGCCTTGGATGTCGCATATTAGGGTACCGTTGCTTATAAATGCGAGATGCTAGGAAACTATTTCTTTGGGCTTCGCCCAAAACGCACACCCATTCACCATTTCTTCTTTAGAAAAAATCATTTACAAACACGTTTTTATTATAATGCTCACGAAGCTAATTTTGACAGTTTGTAACTAATCACCAATTTATTTGTTTCCAAGGATGATGCCACATTTTAGGGAATTGAGCCGTTCCATTAAAAACCCTTATGTGTCTAGTATAAAAAAAAGCTTATAAGAAATCGAATCCAAACTTACACAAATATACAGGGTGATGCAGTTTAAATTCTTGAGAAAAGCTTCGATTTGCGTTTTTGACCACTATATATGAGCATAAATTTAAATTCGAATAAGTAACAAACAAGATAAAATCTGAGATGTGTAGGTTTTTTTGATATAAAATTCAGCACTCCAATTATCAAAATTGCGGACTGAGGGGTGGCCGAAGTGGGGGGTTTGTATAGACAAAACACCTTATATCTCAGTAGCTTATTACCAAAACCTCATAGTATGTTACATCAATTTTCTTCTTTTGAATTGGTTTATACAAATATGCAATAAAATTTGAGGCATTCTATTTGACAAATCACAACTTTAATATGTAGGTCGAAATTGGGACACCGTGTATAATGGCGCTAATATTTAGAAAGGTGCCCTCAAATTTGATTATGAGTAATATTCCGTCTACACGTGGATGGGCCACCCTGTATATACAGGTATAGTTGTGAGTACCTCTATGAATCACTTACACTTCATCCCTGAACATAGCTGTTCGGTCCAGCATATTGAAAGTGTAGCAGATACCTTCATCTAGAATTATAGGCTGGAATAGTACTTCACAGGGTTCCGGCTTGACCAGTCCTTCCTGGCACGTCTCAGTGTACTCGCTGAGATTAAGCTTCATCTACAATTATTTTCTGTTTTAATGACAGTGCAATGAAAAAGTAGCCGTTTTGAAAACGTCGTGTTTTTAGCGGCACGTGAGCGTTGGTTTATTGGGGTAATATAGGTTATAGTTCCTACAAATTGGGCCACTGTATTCGAAACCTATGTTAGCTCAACACGATAACTAAGCTACGCTAAAGATACCATTCATGTGGCTTCTTTACATTGGTTATGATTTGGCCAATTTGTATGAGCACACAAGAGGATGACGAGTAGCGATGGGTAATTTATAAATCGGTGTGAATATCCGGAAACTTTCGGCATCATTCCGTAATTCTTGCTAGGGGAACCACCCCTCCCCCAGAACTTTTTTCTGGAGTATGAGACTCGAAACACTTCTGTAGGAAAGCTATGAGGCCGCTTAATCGGCTTCTCACATGTAGAAAATACCCATTCATGTATACAGGGTGTCCGCAAAGTTGGGGTTTTCCTTTTCAGAAACAACTACCCTTGAAATAACAAAGGTAACGTGTAGTGAAACGAGGGCCACCAAGTAAAAAAAAAAATAAAGGAAAAAGTACTCACTCTCCAGTTGACGAGACGGGCTAAGTACGTCTCTGTCCGAAATCATACCGCTCCAACAGAAAATGAAATCAGCTGAAGCGCTACCGAGCAGACGCAGAAATCACATTGATTGTCTTACACTTAATGGCACATCTTCTAACAAGGAAGGAAAAATGTTGAGTAAAAAGTCTAGGTATTGCATCCCGTCCAATCGATTTGGGAGAATAAATGGTCCAATGAGAGCATACCGTTCACCATGCCAGCCCAAACATTCACCGAAAATGTTTGTTGAAAATGTGCCTGACGGACAGCGTGCGGATTTTCTACTGACCAAACATGAGTGTTGCGAAAGTTATTCACCCCATTACGCGTGAACGTAGATTCGTCTGTCATCAATATGCACTTCAAAAAGTCCGGATTATTGTCATGCTGATGCAACAACCACTCAAAAAACCGCACTCTTGCTGGAAAATCGTCAGGTTGAAGGGCTTGTACACGTTGGACGTGAAACGGATACAGCCCCTCTTCTCGCAGCGTTTGCCACACTTTTGTTTTTGATACTTGCACTTCTCTAGCCACGTCTCTAGTGCTTGTTGAGGGATTCTCGTCTACTCCATTACCTCTACATGCGTGACCGTAACCGTCGGTTGAAGGTTGCATACTGGCCTGACACACTGACTCCGACCCAGTTCTGCCGTCGGGTTGAGACCTTGTACCAATCGGTGATGTCCCGGGTCGCGGCTACAGGACGGTATTCAGATATTTTTGATGTTGCAGAACCCTTTAACTCGGTTCCCTTAAGACATTGGGGTATATGGTACTAAGAAAAATTTGCGTATGTTTTCAAGATTTACACGTCGTGTAAAGAAAAACCCCAACTTTGCGGACACCCTGTATACATCAGACTAACTATTGTAGAAAAAATGTATGGACAATTTTACGAAAGAATCGCATTCTCAAAAGTAGGCCTTCCGCCTAAATATAGAAAAATTATCTGTAGGCATTAGTTCAAGTGATCCGTAGGAGATTTGTAGAGAATAAAACAAGGTTTGAAATGCGGTTATGTCACTGGAAAGATCGTAAAAATAATGGCCATTTACCTCAAAATTAGTGGCAGCTAGCTTTCTGCCTTACGGTTTCGCCCGCGGAACGTGTAGATGGCGCCGTCAATAAGGTAACCAAATTTCCCATGCATGAAAGTTGGCTGCCAATTTAGTTATGCCATCAAAGTTACAAAATGTGTTTGAAAGTTTATAGCATTACTTACAAAAACAATATCATATGTTAGTCGCGAGTAATAGCTAGTGAATAATAAAACGCCTGTATCGCTTGACGATGACAGGTCAGGAGTGGGTCGATGGCAGGCCGCGCTGTTGCCGCCTTCACAACTTTAGTACTTGCAGCGACAGTTGATTATAAGATCACCGACGAGTTCACGGATAAAAGCATGCCTATAACCTTCCTCTTGTATCAATTAGTAAGCATACAAACTTTTACGTCTATCCGTAGTGTGGTTTAGATGTGACGCTGTTAGACTAGACATGTATTCACGTTTATACAGGGTGTAAAGTTAGTAGTGGATCAACGCAAGTCAGATGATAAAGAGCCTTAAAACATATCGAATGAACCCCTAAATGTGTGGACCAAAATTTTATAAATCAGAAGGTATTTACAATTTTGTTACATTTCGAAAAAACAGGATAATCAACTTTCAATCGCATTTACATCTTAACCATTATGTTTAGGACTGTATTTTTTTGAGATGAGATAAACGGTTTTGTCACTTTTTAACAGAGATAATTAGAAATCAACGCAAAAAATCTTAAATTAATTTTTTTGTGAATAACCTCTTCCATCCGTCAACTTTGTAGGGTGGTAAAAAAAAATAATTTGTACTTCGTTATTCATTTAATTGTACAAACTATTTCAATCCATGTAAAATAAACGCTGAAAATTTCAGCTTGTTAGGATAAGTGCCTCATCTTAAAAACTCTGTATGTTTGACACAGGTGGGTATCTATACATGTAAACAAGAAATTCTATTGTACGAGCTGCAGTCCAAGCGACTTGATGGATTTTGACATATGAGGTACTGTTAGATTCGTCCTAGCAATGTGAGTGATAACGTCGGCATTAACATTTTTTAAAATCAAAATTGCTTTTTTTTTACGCAAACAATCACATCAGCTTAACGAGCTTCGGTCCGACCGAAATTACTAAGGGCCGTATCGTCTGTCGCTCCTACAATATTGTAGGACGCCTTTATAGCCTAGTTGATTTTCATGGTTTTCTGCTGTTCCGTGTCAGCGCTCTATTTTGAGGTTATGTTATAAATATTCATTTGTATCAAATTGTTCAAGATTTTGATTTATATCAGCTGTTATACAGCCTGAAATTTCCTTCGATTCAAAACGAAAACATAGCCTCACAATAAGAGAGCGCTAACGTTGAGACGGAATAGTAGATCTCTAGAAATATTCCAGCCTTTCTGAAGGATAGAAAAGAGCATGAAAATCAAGCAGGCCATAAAGGCGTCCTACAATTGTAGGAACGACTGACGATACGGCCCTAAGGGACAATTTCATCAACAACAGTCCGTTATTCTCCACCTATAGGGTAACAGACCGTCAAATACAACGAATGAGCTTCAAGTTCCAATCAACAAATTTTAGCAGCCAATAGCTATGAAATGTTGAAAACAAAATACTGTCAAAGTATGAGATGACAGCTTGTTATTGAAACATCGCCAGCTTATTGAATATTAAGAAATTACATATAATTCAGTCAAAATTTAAAGAAATGTTGGATGTTTTCATAAATTTCATGTTTTAATTACTATTGTTGATTTTTTATTCATGTTTATATTATTTTCTTCAGTTGATATGCGATACTTGGTGTTTTTTCCTATAAACCTCTTGCAGATAGCCATTAAGCACCTACTTGATGACAAGCTCTACCAAAAGGTATTGCTCGTTTCCAAACATTCATTCATTTACTTGCCTTTCATCAGAACCATTATGGCATCTTAGATTGATATTCCCACAAAACCATTCAGGTCTTTTGATATCCATACATCCAGAATTGGTTTCAGAGGAAACGTGTACTCACTGATCGAAAATTATTTGTCAAATCGCCCACAATCTGTGCAGATATCAGGATCATTTAGTAAAGAAATGTATATTAAGTGTGGTGTCCCACAAGGAACTGTCTTAGGTCCGCTGTTATTCAATATATATTTGAATGATGTTTTCCAAATTAATTGTGTTGGCAAAATAACTAGTTTTGCAGATGATACTGCAATATTATATGAAGGCACTGACTGGTCTGATCTGAAAAATGTAATTGAAAATGATTTTATCAAAATTATTCGGTGGTTTAACAGTAGAAAATTAAGCATTAACTACTCTAAAACACATTTTTTACCATTTGGATCTTATGCTAGACATCTGCCAAATTACACAAATTTCTCGTTTAACATTAATGATCAAAAAATGCAAATTAACAGAGTGCCCAACATAAAATACCTTGGACTGGTCTTGGATCCCCACTTAAGATGGGACATCCATGTCAATTATATTTTAAAGAAAGTAGATTTGTATCCTACAAAATTAAATACCTTGGGAATATATTGACAGAAAAATATCTTCGAACATTATACCATGCACTGATTGAACCTCATCTCACATATGGTACATTAGCATGGGGAGCTGCATGTTCCTCACATATCTATAATTTAGATGTTTTTCAAAAAAGTATTCTAAAAATGATATTTAAAAAACCGAAACTTTATCCCACTGAAAAATTATACGCAGATGTTCGAATGTATAAGACAGCTTTATTTCTTACACAGTATCACTCACTACCATAAATTTGTAAACACCGACCAAAAAATTAAACATAATCGTTATACCAGGTACAAAATTCGTGGCACAGTAGTTCCTCAACCGCATAAATCTATAATGCAGCGATCATATCTCTATTTAGCGCCTAAATTTTATGAAATTATACCTAAAGACTTAAAAGATTTACGTTTCGGAAATTGTTTCAAAAGAAATTTAAAAAAGTGGATACATTCTATATCTAGGACTGAAATTCATAAACTCATAAATACGAACATCAACTAAATACATAATCTACTGTAGCTAATTTTTGTCATTTTTTGTCATTTGCATTCTACAGTTTCAACTTAAATTATTGGTCCATGTACACGCGATGCCTTCTATTGGGTCTGTTTTGATTTTATATTTATTTACTCATATTGTTTGTTATCTTTGTACATTGAGTAAATAAATATTATTATTATTATTATTACAAAGTAGAATATTTTTCGTTGTTCAGGAACTGAACAAACATCCACACTACGTATATAGTCACAGCGATTAAGAAATTCCCAAATATATGCCATAAAGCTACCAGCAAACCTAAAACCTGCAAAAAAAACTACAAATTTGCCAT